TCTTAGGGTTGCTGACATAAGCCAGTGAGCCAGGGGGCACTGGGTGGAGGCACTGAGACTCTGTGTCTCTGTCATCTCTCTCACCCTCTTGTCTGTCTCCCAACTAGGACCCACGAACAGATGGTAAAGGAGAAACTGACCTGTACAAACAAATAGATGCTTGTTTTTAAAATAATGGGGGCGGGTGCTGAAGAGATAGCACAGTGAGTAGGGCGCTTGCCTTGCACCCTGCTAATCTGAGTTAAATTCCCAGTATCCCATATGGTCCCCCAAGCACCGCCAAGTATAATTCCTGAGTGCAGTCAGTCATAACCACAGGCTGTGGCCCAAAACACAAAAATAAATTATTAAGTAAATTAAATTAAGTGAAGATATGGACATATACTTTCCCAGCTTTTTTGTAAAAAGGAAGGAACTGCTAACACACAGCACACCACTGCGGCTGTTGGGGAAGTGACACAAGCCAGTGAGCCAGTGGGTTGCTGGGTGGACACGCTGAAACTCTGTGCAACTCTCATCTCTCTCCCCTCTTTGTCTGTCTCCCACATAGAACTCAAGGGCAAGTATATGGTTTTGGCTCGACCCATGAAAGACTTAGGTAAAGGAGAAATTTGTGACCTGGAGCTGAGCGCCTCTGAACGAATGAATGAATGTTTGCTTTTAAAGTAATGGGGTTGGGTTGGGGGGGGGGATGGAGCGATAGCACAGCGAGTAGGGCGTTTTCCTTACACGTGGCTGACAGGATTCGATTCCCAGCATTTCATATGGTCCCCGGAGCACGATACCGCCAAGAGTATTTTCTGAATGCAGAGCCAGGAGTAACGCCTGTGCATCGCTAGGTGTGACCCCAAAAGCCAAAAAAAAAGTAATGGGGTTGGATCGGAGCAATAGTCCACAGAGGAAGGTCTTGCACATAGCCAACCCGGGCTTGATCCCCGGCATCCCCTATGGTCCCCTAGGAACTGCCAGGAGTAATTCCTGAGTGCAGAGCCAGGACGAAGCCCTGAGCATCATCAGGTGTGACCCAAAAAGACAAGCAAATAAAAACAAAAAATAATAAAGTAATGGGGCTGGGAGACTGGAGAGACAGGACAGCAGGTAGGGCTCTTGCCATACATACCGCCAGCTTGGGTTCCATGCCTGGCATCACATACGGTCCAAAGCACTGCCAGGTATATTGCCTGAGGGTAGTGCCAGGAGGAACCCCTAAGCATAGCAGGATGTGACCCAAAAACCATAAAACCTTAAATATTAAGTTACAGGACCAGAAAAAGGAGAGAACCAGAAGTAGAGAGCTGGCAGAGCACTCACCTAGCAAGCAACTTCCAGGGTTCAATCCCTAGCACCCCCATATGGTTCCCTAACCTGCCAGGGGTGACACCTGACACTTAAGAGGTCAGAGTAAGCTCTGAGCACCACCTGGTGTGTCCCAAAACAAAATAAAACAAAATAACAATAAAATTAAATAGAGTGACATATAGACACATGTCACAGCACTATGATTGTTGGGGTAAATGCATAAATCAGTGAGCTGGGAGACACTGGGCATTCTCCGTCATCTCTCTCACCCCTTGTCTGTCTCCCACATAGAACCCACCAAGATTCCTACGCCAGATCCTAAACCTGAGATATACGGTAAAGGGGGAGTGTGGCCAAGAGCTGAGGGTGCCAACCTGAGGCAACCTGCCCTGGTTGCTGCCCAGCTTGTTTGTAAGATAGGGTGAGAGGGAGGATGTTGGGGTAGTGCCTGTTTCCAAGAAACATCTGCAGGCGCAGAGGCAAGGGCACACCACATGTTTCAGCCACTGTCCTTACATCTAAACCATACTCAGATACCAGTGAGGGAAGGGGCTCACACACCACGGCACCTCCTGATGGAGCCACAGGCTCCTGTGTAAAGAGGACCCTGTTTTCCCCCAATCCCCTGTCTCCTGCCTCTGTGGCCTGGCTTTAGGAACTGACCACAGGCCCTTCTCTGAGCTCCTCTCACAGACCAGCTATCTCCTGACTTGCGGCTTCAAAGAAGGTTTCGCCCTATGAACCCTGGCCCGGCCCTGCTCTGATTTGCAGCACAGGTGAGAAATAAAACTCGGGATTCGCCTTGAGTGTCAGAAAGCATTTCAGGAAGTCCGTGCTTTTGACTGTCACAACACTGGTTTTGTTTTCTTTTGCTTCTATTTTATTGTTTGTTTATTGGTGGGTCACACTTAGGGGCTTCTCTGAGGTTTGAGCTTGGGGTAACACCCTGTACCTGGGAGATCCTCTGGTTCTGGGGATAAAATTCTTGCCTCCTCTAAGCAAGGAATGTGCTCTGCTGACTGAGGCATCTCTCTGGCCCTCACACAGTATTTGGACGAAGGTGTTCTCTGGTTTAGAACATGAGCAGAAGAGGTGGAAGAGCATTTTAACTGGAGTCATAAACTCTAGTTGTTATAAAGGGGATATGAGATTTACTAGTTGGCCAAAATAAAACAGCAAACACCAAGTGAAGTAGAACAGCATTCTCTGCAGGAAAGATTCCATTCCCTCCCCAGGCACAGTGCATGAAACAGAATTTCTGATAATTCAGGGCACAGAGAGAGACGTAAAAGAAAAGGCTAAGAGGGGAAGTTGAGGAACCAGAAGAAAACATCCAGTGAGGAGGAGCAGATCTGAGAAAGCAGGAGTGAATCTAGTAGCGAGAAGAACATGGGAGCATCCCTGGGCTGATCTTAACCCCCATACCCCTGTAGTGTGGGGGAGATCAGCGTGCACAGGAGAAGCACACAGTGGCAGCCTGTATCATAGGGTGTAGTCAGAGCAGTCACATGGCACAGAGGGCAGGATGCTGGGGTTTCTGTACGAGAGGGGCCCAGGCCGGATTGGAAAGCCTTCTAGGAAGACTCTCAGGGCAGAAGCACCTCATCTCAACGTGGGGGACAGTGTTCACGCTGCCCAAAGCTCCTTACCTACAGCATGGTCAGTGCTTAGGATGTTCTGGCTGCTGTCAGGATGGTTTTGGGGAAACTGACACTGGAGCAGCCACATCGAGAATTACAGCATTCCCTGTGCTAAGGACCTACTCAGTACTACTCAGTACTACTCAGTACTACTCATCTATCCTACTCATCTATCCCATCTGAGTCTTGAAGGTTCTCTTTGACAGTCAGTGACACAGCAAGAGAAAGTGGTGACAGAGCGAGGAAGCACCCAGCTGCTCGGAATGGTGACTCTCTGAAGCAGGGGTGCAGAAGTAGCAGAATATTTAACAGACACCAACTCCTTCCATCTCCTTTAGGGAACCAACCTGCATAAAGTCCTTTTCAGAAACCACAAATCAGCCTTAGTGTTTCTTACTATGGCCACCAATGCAGTGTCAAGAGAGGCTTGGCAGGGTGGGTGCAGCTGCAAGGTGGTAGAGTATATTCGACACTATCCGGCTCCCAAAGTCCCAGTACCTCACAGGGCCTTCACACTGGTGGCTCCTTCCATATAAGGAATTCTCTGCTGCTTACATGTTTATTAATCCGTCAGAGGAATAAAGACTCCTGTCCCTACCCCCATCCCCACCCAAGGATTGAGGGAATAGACATCTGATTCCCCTCTCTCCATCACGTATAGCAGAGCAGCTGGAGGTATAAAAGGATTCGGGAAGCAGGATGCTACTTTTCGATGTGCCCTGGACGGCCTTGATATAATCCCATCTTGTGACCGCAGAACGAGCTCCAGGACCTTGAAATGATGCTCTACTGTGCAAGTAATATACTTAAGAACTACTGCTCTATACTCTCTCACCTGCTATCCCTTCCCCCAACAGACACTCTGTAACACTGAGCTATGATCTTGGTTCTGGGCCCAGTCTGAAAAAGCATGAGCTCAGCTGGGTCCACCATTATGAGTCCATTCTACTTCTAAAGTTTTGTGAGTGATTATTCAGTTCTTCCAAGTCTGATTAGGCCAAAAATCCAAAATACAGAACCTTGAGCAATCTTCAGGCTGGTGCCATCTAGAACCGTTGGACAATAATTGGACCCTAAACAAAAGTGTGCATGGAAACCAATGGAGAGCAGAGCAGGGAGACATTTGATGAGCATACGGGTTAAACGACTTATCCTGAGTTTGTCTCCTTTGGGCTAAGGCAATGAGCCAAGGTTGCGATGGCAAGGTCAAAGTGATATGTTAAGCATTGTCACCATTGATGTGAAACCAAACTAGACACCAAGTTTCAACAAGGCACCTGCTTTCCACGAGAAAATACAGACTTATACTGGCTGCCTGCTTCTATGTCATGGGAAAGTTTCAAGCTCAACAGTATCAGCACTACATAGGGGCATTTCACCCAATCACTGGTGTCTTTGCCAACCTTATACTCTCAGGTCTTATGGAATTTGGGCTTCAGACAATAAGATATTTGCACAAAATCCACAGGCCAAGGGATTCTTTTTATAGTAAGTGTTGTGGGCAGTTAATGATGTGAGCCTATGGGATTTGGGAATCACATGTGTCTACACAAAAGTAATTACCCTACCATAACGAGACTTAGTGAATGGCAGAGACTGTTTACTCAGCAAAGGGAGATATAAGCTAAAGATTGGGACCTCTCCATTTTCCATGAGGAATTAGATGACTGGAATTTCAAAGTCAAGAACCCACTCTGATAGTTTCCTTCCTTGTACAAATGCTATTTATGCACTCAATGTTTATCAAGTCGGGAAAGCTCTGATGTGGGGAACTCAATGAATCTACTAGAGGAAGTTTCCTTCAGAGACAATTCCCTGTCTCTTTTCACTATCCATGTGGCAGTTGGCACAGAATCCAGTGATTTTTATTTTCTGTTTCCTGTGGCTTTCCCAATCCTTGCACCCTTTTTTGAAAGACTGTGTTGTCCATGATCTAGGCAGAGAACAACATTCCCAATCTGCCCATGATACTCCTCTTCTTATAAAAACAAGGCAGAGCTTGGATCCAAGAGAATCTGCGAACTGCATGCTTGAGCCTGGGAACTACCCAGCAGCCAGATAATGAAACGCTTTGCAGCTGCCCTTCTCATGCTCCTGCTGGCTGTGGCTGCCCTTGGCATCCCGGCCCCAGTCACCCAAGGTGAGTCCAGTGACCTTCTCATGGATGGTCAGGTCTGTGGTCACCCCTGTTCTGGTCCGTGATAGCCCCTACTCAATATTTAAATGTGATTTGCAGCAGCAGGACCCAGCGGGCTGCCTCAGTCTTGCCAGCCCTCACCTGGCTAGAGCACCATTGGGAAATCAAAGTCTGGGGGTGAAATGGGAACATAGCATAGTGGGATCTCTGGTCTTCCCAGATTGTCCTGGTTCTGGACGAATACGACTGGATGCACACAAAGATTTAAAAAAGAAGTAGCAAGTGTTTATTGTAAGAAAGTTTCAGAACAAAAGGGGTATTTCAAGTGAAATGCTGTTAGAACCCTTTTCTCTAGGGCTTTATAGGTAAAGAAGTCTGCTTCCTTTCATGTAATACTAACTGGACCACTCTGCGTTGTCTATTTTTCCTAGATGCTCCATAAGTTCGGGTGCTCTGATTTCTTTAGCTAGGGGATAAGAAAAAGTTTCACATAAGTTAGCCCATAGCTCTGTTCTGGGCATTCTTTGTCTTATAGATTGTTAGGTTTCCTGGCTCCTCAGGTCTTGGGTGAAGCTTAGATCCTGAAAAAACTACTTTAATGTGTAGAGCAGTGCAAGGCTAAAGTGAGGGGTCAAAATAGCGTGAGGGAAAGATGGGTGCTGAGAAAGGGTCTCCCCTAAAAACTACTAGAAAGATCCTACAGCAGACAATTGGCAAATCAGCCCAAAGATTTCTCTTTCTTTAGCACACACTGAGGCAAGATTGACAGCTCTGGTCTTGGGGATCCCCAGGAACAAAGGGGCCCAGATAATGGCTCAAAGGCTTAGGAAATGTTCAGTGCAAGCCGGGGTCCTGAGATTGATCTTTGATGTTCTGCAATCCAGTACTGCTCCTCACTGTCTGGGGTACCTGGTGAGAGGGAAATAAATAATTACAATAAATAAACAAAAATTTCTGTAGTAGTATGGAGGAGATATATATATAATATATCCTCCCTCCCTCCTTTCCTTTCTCTTCCTATCTTCTTATCCTCTCTCTCTCTGTCTCTCTCTCTCTCTCCAAAGATAACCTATACTCAGATGAATAGCTGATCTTAGAGAAGTTAATCTCTCCCTTTGCATGACGCGAATTATTTGATAGCTGCTCCTAGCTGACCTAAGACCATTAGGGTAAATGAAAGGAACAAGAGTTATTTGAAAATTTGGAGAAAGAAACAGAGAATTCTACAGTATTAGTGATGAAGTTACATCATCTAGTGAAAAATGATCATTTTGTCAAGGAAATACAAGCATCCATGCAAGTGACTTCCCCAAGTTCACCTACCTGATATAGCTACTCATCCAAAAACACATACCTAGTACTTACCACTTCAAGCAGAATCTGTTCTTTGCATCCTCCGGGTAAACATATTGGATCATCCTAGTAACCCTGAATGATAGACTATTCTCAGATAACCTAGTTTCATCTGTTCACCTCATTATTCTCATTTTACAAACAATGAAATTCAGACATTTCAGTCTTATTGATTTCTTCTGTGAGCTCACATAGGTATTTAGTGGGAGAATTAGCACATAACCAAGTTGGGAAGCTGTTACAGGACTATAAGACCATTAAAATTTGAATTGTACAAATTCTACCTAGACAATTGGTAACTGGAAATGAAAAAGAGGTTTTGTTCTTCACTTAGTGCAATTCAGGTCTACAAAGCTTATCCACCATTTTGATACTAGTGATTACAGGAATATTGACTCTTCAAATTTTAGAAAAAATCTTCACTATGAACCAGTAATTCCAATTCCAACTTATTCCTCAAAGAACTGGAAGCAGATAGAAGACACAGGCACACCATGGTTCTGAGAGCATTAGAATCATCAGTCAAAAGGTGAGAGCAGTCAGAGCAATCTTGGACAAATGATTGTGTTTTTGGTATTAAAGTGGTATGTAGACACGCAGTGAACTGCTTCTCAGCTGTAAAAAGGAAGAAAATGATCACATACTCTACATCACTGAGGCTGCTGGGATAAGTGACAAAAGGCAGTGAGTCAGGGGGACACCAGGTGGACACAATGAGACTCCTGCCTCTCTGTCCTCTCTGTCCTCTCTCTCACCCCCATGTCTGTCTCCCACAGAGGGCCCAGGACCATGTCTCCGCCTGAAGCTGAACCTGAGATATATGGTAAAGGTGGGGTGTGGTCGAGAGCAGAGGGGGCCAACCTGAGACTCACCTGCCTATGGTTGCGGCCCATCTTATGGGTGGGATGTGGGTGCAAGGGAGGGTCCTGGGGGTGGTGACTATCTCTAATGAAGATCTACTCGGGCCCCAGGTCCCTCGTCATCTATGACCTTCTACCACCTGTCCGTCCCTGGTGAGTTCCCATGGACAGGGTGATGTCTGATCACGAGTACATCCTTCCTTTCCTGGGAGAGATGATCCTGGCACTGCTTTAGACCTGTGCGGGTCACTACACACACACACACACACACACACACACACTCACACAAACATACACACACAGAGAGAAAGAGAGAGAGATACACACACAACACACACAGAAAAAGAGAGAGAGACAGCACACACACAGACAGCACACACACAATATGCACACAGACACACACACACACACACACACACAGACACACAGAACTTAGCCTCCAGCCGCACCGGGCGGAGAAAGGAGATGCAGGCAGTTTGTGAAGGAAGAGAAAAAAAAAACATGTCCTTGGAGTCACTCAGTCTTGGTTCTCTCCAGAATTTTGCAGCTATGAGGGGAAGGACCTGACCCCTTTATGTACATATTCTCTTCTAAAATGGCCTTTTCTCTTCTGCAGCCTTCAGCGGAGACATCGACTGCAGCTATAGCAAGTACCAGAACTTCAACTGTTCGAGAATGAAAGATTATTATAAAACCAGCAGTGAGTATCCCCACCGGGGCATCATGTAGGTGTTCAATCACAGGCCTTGTGCTCTGGGGGCTGGGAGAGGAGATCTAATGGACGGTGTCAGGGAAATTCCCTGAATCTCTCCAGGCTCTAAGGTGGATCCCAGAGGCCCCAAGGGAGGAGAGACTGGGGAAGAGAAGAGCCCAGGAGATAAGCTGACCTCAGAAGGGACAGGAGAGGAGATGCCAGAGAGTCTCTGAGCTCCAGGAAGAGAGAATGAAAGCTTGACTGGGTGGGGAGCCCTGGGCAGGAAGGGGGGTCTCCCAAGTCCATAGAATTTCCCAGTGTGTGATCTTCCTCTCCTTCCCTCCTAACTTCATAACTAAGGAAGTCAAGAAGACCTGTGCAGACCCTCCGAACAAAAAGGTTCAGTTCTGCATGGAGTCCCTAGTGCCAAATTACAAGTTAACGCAGATGCTGGAAGCATTTCGTGCCTAATAAGGGGCTCTGTATTTTCTTCTCTCTTACCTGCTCCACGGTTCCTGCAACTATCTCTGGATACACTACTTGCTTTTGTTTGATTTGGTGTAGTTGGGGGTTTGTGGGTTCACACAGGGGTGCCAAGGGTTTTCCTCCAGGCCGTTATCTCAGAAATCATTCCTGGCTACGCCCAAGGAACCCTATGTAGTTGTGGGGGTACAATCTGCTATGTTTAGTGTCAGGAATGAAGTCCCCAACTTAAATCCTAGCTCCATATGGGCCCTTCACACCCTCAAGTCCTCACAGCTATAGCAAAGAATGTTAGATGTCTGGTGTGTGCTCTAACTAATCGCAACATCGACAGAAATACTAAATAAATGGGGAGTATCACCATTTCTTCAAGAATATACTCTACCATCACCATCAAAGAAAATTGTGTATATCACTTCATATTTCTCTGTTGTCACTTCTGGGAACATATCACAGAGAGGCAAAAAAAGTATAGTCAAAATGACATCTGCACTTGTTTGTTCATTGCAGCACTGTTTACAATAGTCAGCATCTGGAAAAAAACCTGAGTCCCCGAGAAAAGATGACTGGCTAAAGAAACTTTGGTACATCAACACATTGAAGTACTATGTAGCTGTTAGAGAAGATGAAGTCATGAAATTTACATACAAGTGGTACTACAGGGAAAGTATCATGCTAAGTGAAATTAGTCAGAAAGAGAGGGACAGACATTGAAAGACTGCATTCATCCGGGGAATATAAAGTAACAAAAAATGAGACTAACACCCAAGAATAGCCGAGACATATACCAGGAGGTTTACTCCATGGCTTGGAGGCCAGCCGCACATATGAAGGGAAAAAGAAGCTCAGATAGAGAAGGAAGCGCCAAATAAAGGGTGTTGGGAGGATCCTCACAGGATGGGCGATGCATTCTGAAAGTGAACTATAGACCGAACATGATTGCCACTCATTGTAAACTACAGCACCTAAAGGGAGAGAGGGAGAACAAAAGGGAATGCCCTGCCACAAAGGCAGGGTGAGATGGGGGGTAGGAGGGATGCTGGGATCATTGGTGGTGGAGAGTGGGCACTGGTGGAGAGATGGGTACTCAATCATTGTATAACAGAAACCCAAGCACAAAAATTTGTAAGTCTACAACTGTACCTCATGGTGTTTCACTAATAAATTTTTTTAAAATGACAGATTTATGTGTTTTTTTTTCATAATAAACCCAGGAACTATACGTTTGTCCTGCTCAGTTGGGTTCTGGATGTCACAGTTTCCTCTAGCTGCCCTTCCTCCCTTCTGACTGAAGGAGCTCTGCCCTAAATACCACGGAACCCCGTAGACGCCACCCTCTCCACACAGCACACCAACAGCCATGCAGGGAAACCAGGGATGAGTCCCGTGAAGGAGACGACATCCAGAACATGCATCTGGGTCCCAGAGGAGGACAAGGCATCTCAGGAGCATGGTCAGCTGAAAGGAGGGATTTCAACTTTTGGGAAGAGTCAGGTGTGGGGGTGGTCCCTCATCTCTGATGCTGAGTGTGCAGAACCCTCGAGCCAAAGGGATATGACAGAGGAGGAGTCCTGCCTTCCTGCCAGAACTGCTTCCTGCTGCCAATGAGGCCACACCACTGAGAATGACCATAGTTCTGTGACATCCAGGACCTCAGCCTTCTGTGAAGACACCAAGAGGGCCTGCAGTGCACTCTGGAGGACGAAGGGCAGATATGCAGCTGCATCTCCTTGAATTGGGAGCTGCCCTAGAGGGGTGGATCCCTCTGATCCCAGGACAGGCCTGACTGAAAGAGGATGCTGATCTGTGTCCTGTCCAGGCCCTTTACAGCTCTTTGGGTCCCTTGTAGCTCAGTTAGTCGTCGATTTGCTCCAGCGGGTACGGTTGATGTCTCCATTTGTCCCTGTCGCGTTCTAGTGTAGCCCAATGTCATCTGTTCCCTCTGGGAAGACGAAGAGCCTCAAACCAATCGTTCATGATCTTGATGAAGAAGTCTGATCCTCTGGTAGGTGGGCGACCAGGTGGTCTTTTGACATCCCGTGGAATCCAGTCGGTAACAGCTCTAGTCCAGCGGTCGTCTTTAAATCTCTTACGTGACCACCCATCTGATCTTTGACACCTTGGCAAATGAGACAGCATCCCTGAATCTTGATCGTCGACGGATGTTGGAACTCCGGATTCGTTCTCTCATTTGAGTGAAACGTGATATTCCAAGCATAGCTCTTTCAATTCCTCTTTAGGAGACCTGAATAGCGTTCTCATCCTGTTTGCGTAGGGCCCAGGTCTCTGAGGCATATGTTAATGCAGGAAGAACAGTGGAATCAAAGAGATGTGCCCGGAGCCGGATCCGGAGTTTCTTCGTCCTCTTAGCTATTTCTTCAACGTTCTTGAAGGCGTTCCAAGCCGCTCTCTTCCTCCTGCCCATCTCGGGTGCCAGGTCATTTGTCATGTTGACTTCTCGACCTAGGTACACATAGCTGTTGCATTCGGAGATGGTCGTTCCGTTGAGAGCGAATGGGGCATCAGGAATAAGGCAGTTTCTCATAAACATTGTCTTCGTGCCTTCTTGTCTCAGTCAGACCAATGATGTCGTACTTGATCATTCGCACTTGTACCATCAGGTCCTCGATGGATGCATCTGATGCTAGTGTACGTGCATTGAAAGTATAGAAGATCATTTTTGTCTTCCTTCGTTGTGACAGCCTACGTCGGCCTTGAGATTTTGTCGGCCTCTCCTTTCTCATCCTTCTCAGTGCTGCCATGTTGGTGAAGCCTTCAGGGTCAGGTGAATGAGACCAGCTGTAGTTACTGGTTTTGGCATATCGAATACACAACGGATAGCTTGCCAGGCTCTTCTGTGCAGGCGGAATACTCTCGGTATCTTGCCAGTCTTTCCGAGAGGGATGGAGGCTTTTGGGGCGACCTCTAATCACCCTTGTAGGTGTTACCATATTTGAACCCTATCAAATATGGTACGACAATTCCGGAAGATGGGTATTTAGTGTCTTATGATGTGTCCGGAAAGCGTCCTGGAGTGTGGCGACGGCTGGGTAGTGGAAGTAGTGTCGAGAGTGGAAGTCTGCCAGTGGGGTATTTATCTGGGTAGGATGGGTCTCCTGTGCGCAATTCGATCCCTAGGTGGTTGATGGAAGCAGACAGGGCAAGGTAGGGTGGGGGTCCTGATTAGAATCCCTTTGTCACCTGTGGTGGTGGGAGCAAGCAGAGAAGCTCTGTCCCTGGGTCCGCCGAGCCTGGAGTCCAAGGTCTCAGAGAGTTCCGCTTATCTTGTTCTGTGGGTCTTCAGTCGTGGGTGGGTCTCGGCCGGAGCTGGCACGAATCTCACCATGCCGTTTTCGACACTGGAGAAGAATTGTTCCTTGGAACATGCGATAAAAGAGGTGCTGGAGGCGTCGGTGTCCTTGTCAACACAAACTTGGCCAAGAGCATTGATTCATTCGAATGCCTAACAACCCGAATCAGGCGTTTACATTTGAATAGATGTGGCTCACTGCCTGCAGTTTCTATCTTCGTTGTCTACGCACCAACATCTCATTATGATGAAAGAGAAATCGAGAAGTTCTACATGGAGCTAGAGAAGTTCTATAAAGAAGACCACACCTTCTACAAGATCATTGTGGGTGATTTTAATGCCAAGATAGGACCGAGAAGATCAGCTGAAGAACTTCACATCGGGACCCATGGCCTAGAATCGAACGAACAGGGTGAGAGACTGTCTGAGTTCATCATGTCGACCAAGACCATTCATGGTAACTCACAGTTCCAGAAGGCAGAATCTAAACGATGGACATGGGAGTCTCCCGGTGGATGATTCCACAACGAAATAGAGCACATCATATTCAATCGACGGTTTTGCCTGACTGATGTCGCTGTTGTCCCAAAATTTCGAACGGGATCGGACCACTGTCTCCTTCGTGCAAAATTCTACTTCACAGAGCGGGGAGAAAGGGCTGCAAAGTTCAAAAAGAGAACTCCCAGAATGACCAACAACTGGGAACTCTTTGGTACTATTGCGGCAACATGGGAAGATGCCATTGTTGACAACATTGATGAGGAATACGATCGACTGGTTCAGCACCTCCATGAATGTGCGAGGAACGCCAAGAGAGAGATAGCCACAAAAAGTCGCCTATCTTCGAAAACTCTTGAGCTAATTCGCCAGCGTGGTTTGGCGCATGCCTCAGGCAACCGCAAGCTAACGTCCGTGCTCGCAAAGCAGTGCAGAGATGCGATCAAGGAAGACCTCAAAGAGAGAAGAGCAGAAGTACTGGTAGATGCGGCAGAAGCCGGGAAAAGTATTCGTAACGCCCGCCTGTCCTTCGCCAACTCTAAGACCAAGATGACTGCCCTCCGACGTCCTGATGGATCCATCACATCCTCCAGAACGGCAGTGGAGAAGATTATCCATGCCTTCTACTCAAATCTCTTCGATAGCCATGTCCACTTGCCGACATACCAAATTCCACAGGATGGATATGTCCTTCCAACGTTCTCCCTTCCAAAATCCGACACGCCATTTCGTCAGTAAAG